CCCGCCACCAAAAAATGACGGTTTGTGTCGCAGTTGAAGCTTCTGGAGCCCAGGGAGAGATGCTCCGGTGCCGAGAGGCCCGTCCCGGCGCGGGGGCGTAGAGCCGGAGCCTTTTCCACCCGCCCCGGATCCAGGGTCTCGGGGGTTCTCCCCACGCCGAGAGCCTCGGTAATGTCTGGCCCTCGTTTCTTCTCGTTCCGCAGTGTGGGGCTTTGGTTTTCTCAGTGTGTCGATGATTAACGTGGCCTCCCTGCTCGGAGTCTTCATCGTACCGTGTACCGAGAAGGCCTTTTTCAGCCGGGTCCTCACGTTTTTCATCGCGCTCTCCATCGGCACGCTGCTCTCTAACGCGCTCTTCCAGCTCATCCCAGAGGTGCGGTAGAAAAGTCCCTGCCTCTCTCCCGTCTCCGAGGGCAGCTCTCCGGGCACCCTCTCTTGCCTCCACCCTGCCGAATCGAACCGCTCCCTCCGTCACCCGAGGCTCAGGGCTTGTCTCCGGGGCTCCGCAGGGCTTTTCTCACCCCTCCGAGCACCAGGAAACCCTCTGGAGGGTGCGGGCAAGCGCGGGGAGGCGGCGTCCTCCGGCCCTGCTGGGTCCTCGCGATGTTGCTGGCCAGTTTCTGAGGGCTGGGAAAAGCTGTTTGCTCCTGCCCCGTGGGCTGTGTCCTGCTCCAGGAGGGAGTTCATCCCTTGGAGGGATGTGCTTTGTGCAGAGCCGCCCAGCTCCGAAGCCGCTGAGATGCGGCAGCGCTGGTGGCGTGAGCCGGATGGGAAGACCTGCGAGGCGGAGGAAATAGGGGTGTGAAAGCAGAGGGAACAGCCAGGAGAAGCACCAGCTGCTTCTCGAGTCGGCCAACGTTTTAATTGCCTTTCCCCCCCCCCGCCTTGATTTACACGGCTGATGCCCCCACGTGAGGTTTCCTGGTGCTCCGACGGGACCGACAGACGCATCGCAAATTAATTGTGTGGTAATTGCCCAGTTCCGGAGTTGGACAAATCCCCCCCCCCGTGCTCTCAGGCTGGACACCTTCGAGACACGCGCGCGCTTCCTCGGCCGTCCCG